TAATGCTGGCTATTGGAGAAGTTGCGCGAGCTAGACCAGATGAAAAACCAACATCCGCGAAGACCGTGAAAGTGAAACTCTATTTCAAATGACGTCCGCCTATGTCATATCGGCATGCACTTTTGCCTATTGATGGAATCGTATGATTAGCTAGAAAAAAATTACAATGTCAAATGAGCAATACGCGGTGCTCCAAGTATACATAGCTGACCACCATACGACGGGTTGGCATTCGGAAGTTACACCTTACGTGCATAGCTCGGCAAACTCACTCACCAGTGGACTCACTGAAGTAGCCCCAGACTCAGGTCTAGCCACGAGTCTGAGGAAGTTCATGTGAGCCCTATCTCAGTGAGTTTCAACAAAAGCAAGTTTGTTCGAAAAAAAAATTATTGAGCATGAGTGAGCTGCACATAGTATATCGAAATATGCCTGGCGAACATCTTTACAACAAAAGTAGTTATGCTCGAGATCGGCTGTGTGTCGAAGATAGAAAATTGTCATCATCACTAACCGACGTGCTCTGAATCACCACCCAAACATTCAGTAGAGATGGTTAGCAAGAGAACCTGGAACTTGCGGGCCCGATGTTTCTAACGGTTTCTTAAGACTCCCATATATCGGTTACGTGTGAGCAGAAACCTTCATCAGCATTAGCCGCCCGAGTGCCACCTTGTTAATTTTCAGTAGACCACCGTGTTTACTTATGGGATTTGCTCAGTTTATGTAGCAGATCCGTGCCACAGAAGATCTACAGGATCGCCCTCGTCGTTTGTTTTGGCCTCGTACCATATATATATATATATATATATATATATATATATATATATATATATATATATATATATATATATATATATATATATATTTATATATATATATATATATATTTATATATATATATATATATATATATATATATATATATATATATATATATAAATATTTATATATATATATGAATATATATAATTAATTATCATCGTCATTAACTCGCACGCGGTCAAGCACCGCCAAAGCATTCTGTACTGATGGTTAACAAGAAAAGCTAAAACGTGCCCAGCAGCTCAGATATGACGCAGCCTTGCGCAAGTTTAGTGCAAGTTAAGCAATCTTATGTGGTATGTATTGACGGAAGCGAGGTGCCTTAAAGCAAGATTCAAAGGCTTTGTAAAAGTAATCAAAGCAAGGGTACAAACAATCACAGCATATCCTCAGAGTTCATGATGAGTAGTGGGGCGAAGCGTCCGTCAGTACGTCTGCACTTCCATCTATTCGTTCGTTCTTGCTTCCGTCCGTCCATCCATGCATCCGTTCGTACGTCCGTTTGTGCGCCCGTACGTCTGTCGGTCCATCCGTGAGCTCGTCCCTGCGTTCGTCTGTCCATGCATCCACCCGGGCCATCCATGCGTCCGTCCGTCTGTCCATCCGTCCGTTCATCTACTGAGCACTCTAAGTACCACTGTCTCGCATCTTTTCATCATATATTCACCATAAACAAATACCGCCATCCAGCGGTCATTTCAAGGACTATGCGAGAGGTGACACAGGCAGACTGGAGGAGCGGCATGCGCACACTATCTTACGGCCTGCGCTTCGTGTCTAGTTCCCACCTTTCACTGCCGCTAGTTCATGGCGCTGCGGCTCAACCCTCACTAAACCTTGCTAGAACCAAGGAGGTTACGCGAGTTTACCGCGGCAACCTTTTCTGGTCAGATAATGCTCAAAGTGCGTTCTTTTGATACTAGTTTTGTTTAGTAAGCATCAAATTGAGGGCAAATTTTATTGGAGATAAAGTCAGCGATACTCGTCTGTGTAGGTTATTTCATCAGAAACAACTATCATTTTACTTAGATTAAGGTGCGCGGGTTTCCTCTTAATTCAAGTTAGTGCGCGCGTGCCGATCTATTAGTCTTGCTGTGGAGTTGGCTACCTACTACTACTACGACGACTACTACATGCATCGCCGACGCATGACCCACGGTTTAAGGAGCTTCGTCCATAAAAAGCAAAGCAACGAGAACGTTTAGGTTCAAAGAACGTACGCCGAGCTAGCTATATACCGACCAAAAAGAAATAGAGAGACATATTATATGTGCAGTGCATGACACTGCTATAAGCATACAAACAACTGCTAGCATACAAGCGGTGGCGCGTAGTGCCACATTAAGCACGTGGGCCATACAATCATGTTCTAAAACAGTTCAAAGGGGCAGAAATTCCTCTTTATGGAAGCTTCAAGTAGCCCACCGTACCACATAGGACAGCTGACTGAACCACGACGTTTACGCATCTATCGACAATGTTTCTGTTGCGTCAAGTCGTTAAACAGTTATAGTTTAGCGTTAGCATGATAGCGTAAGTTAAGGGAATGGCGTTACCGTGGAGCAAACGTTCATTGTGGGTAGCGTCTTATAGTTTAGCGGGATAGCGTTTACGCGGTTCACGTGCCCCAGCTGGGATGGTGGCGCTGCCTATTAGAAGGTTAATAAGTTAAACAGTGAAAATTAAAAGAAAACAAAAATGTTTGCCTATGGCACCGCGCGAAGCATTGTTAGAAGTTCATTTTAGTGATAATAAAAGTAAATAAATATGAACCACGCACCAAACGCGAAAACATCTACGTTGCCGATTTGTTTACATCGATCTTGTAGTTAGGCCTAGGCGCGTCCGAAACGGGAAGCTATCTCAAAAACTACGCCAACTTATCCGTAATACACGGTCATCGAAGCTAACTGAAGGCAAGCGAAGCCACTTTGAACAGTCGTTTGCGGTGAACAAGGTGAATCTTTCAACAACTACGCCAAAATCACTTCGAAGCGGGCGTCCGAGAGCGCCGCCATGTTTACGTACACTACGTACACTACTTACACCTACGCTACCACGGTAACGTGAAATCTGAAAAATACCGCACGTACGGGAACCTGTACGGGGGACGTACGTATCTGCGCATGCGCACTTCGATTCCGGTATCACGGCACACCCGGTAACCCGGTAAACCCGGTATACTATAACTCTCTATTAACGCTGTTAGGTGGTCATGTCGTTCTTCCGCTCTTGCTAACTTACCGTGACTGATTGGATGCCTCGAAACAACCCATAGGTGGCCACAAAAATGCCGAAGAAGTGTCTTTGTCTTGAAGGGGGCGTAGTCAGGCTGATGATGATATTTTTGGCGACTTAAAAAACTGTATGCCTGTTTTTTTTTCTGCCACCCTTACGAAACCCTTGAATTTCAAGGTCGCCAGCTTGGTAGATCCACATTGGAATTCGCAAAGTTAGATGCGCCAAATGTTAATGTGGACGTTATCATTGTTTGCTCAGTGAGGTGAATAAAAATACTAATTTTATTGAAATAGCAGTGATCTTACTCACACTGCATAATTTACTCCATGTTGAATTGTTTGTGCATATTCTTTTTCTAAATGTAAGACTTCTTTTTCATACTGCTCCAAATTGGATTTTTGTCATAAAAAATAATGTTTTGCTCCCCCGTTACCTGCTGCAAATTTCAATTTTTGTGCTCCAAAAGTAACATTTTGCTGCTGAAAACATTGCTCCAATATCTGACCCTCTCCGACATTGAATGAGTAAAAGTAGTGTTGTCACTGTCACTGAAGGCTTGCTGGGCGCAGGCAATACATTGACAGCTGACAGGGGCCATTGCTCATCACCCCCTTTTGCTCTTTTGTCGGGCTGCTTGCGATGTGGTTCTGGCTGATGTTGCCAGGAATGCTTTTCTTTATACTGAAGGGGTATGCTCATGACAGTCTAGCCAAAGCTCAACTAGCTCAACTCTTTCTGAAGCACATACATCATTTCATTTTTACATTGTGTAGGGCTCCGACTTAAAAAAAAAAAAGGTGCTTTGAACATTGCAAAGACTTGTGACCTTAGCCCCGTCGCCCTCCTGTAGGGAACTAGAGAGAGAGATAAAGATGCAAGGAAAGGCAGGGAGGTTAACCAGACGCACATCCGGTTTGCTAACCTGCACTGGGGAAGAGATAAAGGGGAGAAAAGAGGTTGCAGAAAGATGAGAAGGTACACACAATCACGAGCACACTCGGGGAGCACACACAGTCTACAGGCGGTCGCTCAGGTTTGTTGACTTAAGGTAGAGTAGCAGTGCTTTAGTTGCTTTCTGCGCAACTGAGGCAGATGCCCAAGGTCCTAGTATCTTCTGCACACAAAATGGTCCGGGGTCAAGTCGATTCAAAACCATCCGCAGCTGGCATCGCTGTGTGTCGTAGCAAGCGCAGCTGCACAGGACGTGTTCGATGGTCTCTTCAGCTCCGCAGTAGTCGCATGTAGGAGTGTCTGCCATACCAATGCGAAAGGAGTACACCTTTGTAAGTGCAACACCCAACCAAAGGCGGCATAACAGTGTCGCATCGGAGCGGGAAAGTTGTGATGGTAGCTTTAGCTTGAGCGAAGGATCCAGTTCATAAAATTGACACCTTTGGAAGCTGGTAGACGACCAGAACGTGCGTGTGAGATCTCGAGCCAGCAGGTAAAGTGGTCTTGCTGCATCATTCCTTGATAGAGGAATCGGGACTACACGGGTTTCTTCATGGGCTTAGCGGGCTGCATCATCGGCTAATTGATTTCCGGTAATACCGATATATCCAGGCAGCCATTGATATATAATATCATGCCCTCGTGCTAGTAGGGAACTAGGTTCTTATGATGCTAGGCGGGTGCTTTGAAGGGATGTCGAAATTGGTCACAATGAATTATGCTAGCACTAAATATATGGTACATCTGAGCAATTAACTACAATTCAATTTCAGGACTCTCAGGCACAAAGCTAGGGTTACTCAATTAACTGAGATTCAGTGACAGATTTCACCAGGTTTTGAAATGAAATGCACTGGCAAACCATAATGCACAGGTAATATGAAAACAAAACACCCTAGTGTCTGTGCTAGATAAAAATATTTGCAGTTGTACTTGTGCTTTACCTAATGACCTCGCTTGCTTGCCATCTTTAATCCTTGCAGTTCCGCAAGAAACAACTCAAATTTGCGAAGAGTCGCATTCACGACTGGGGACTGTTTGCTCTGGAGCCGATTGCGGCCGACGAGATGGTCATCGAGTATGTGGGCCAGATGGTGCGGCCCATCATGGCTGACCGGCGGGAGCAGTTCTACACGCAGATCGGCATCGGGAGCTCGTACCTCTTCAGAGTAGATGTCGAAACCATCATTGATGCCACCAAATGTGGCAATCTGGCCCGGTTCATCAATCACAGCTGCAATGTGAGTACTAAAGGATGCGTCCCGTTATATTTGTCAAAGGAACCATGCACAGTAGTACTTGCGGGTTTAAACGTGCCGTTGAATTTTTCATGAAATGACTGGTATGCGCAGTTGCTCAAGATAGCCACGTCATGTCGCAGTGAATCTGGACTCTAAAGATGTAGGTGGCTCTGATTATTTGTTTGAGTAGGCATTACGCCAATACAACCTGGGCCAAAGACTGTAGAAACGAAAGTATCTGCATTACGTCGCCCTGAATACAGTCTAACCCCTTTATAAGAGACACTGATATAAGAGACACCAGTGTGCCTTCATTAAAATGCGGTTTCATAAGGAAATGCCTACATGGGGCCCTGCTTATGACAGAGGTCTCAGTGGTGGGAAACCTGTGCCAATTGTGCCAACCTGTGCGAAGTGGAAAATACTGCGCCATACTGCTCCAAAAGGGTCTTTTTCTGTCTGATTTGCACCATAGTTGCGCCCACAAAGTGGTTTTAGAACCGACAGTAATGTTGACAGCACGTATATGGAATATATTACGTGATGGTCGCCATCTTGTACACTTGTGCTGCTGCATTTGCGTGTAGTCGCGTAGCTGCAAGATCACGGAATCCGCCAGTCAATTATTCCCACTTATGCACCATTGCAGCGGTGCCTTTTCTGGTAATCCCTAGCAAAGAAAGAAGGCGATGTGGCGGCCACTGAAAGGCACACTAGTGTGATATCGCCGATAAAAACCCTACGTGCCGCTTTAAGCCTACTGCATGCTTTTAATAGCTGGCAACTACCTGCAAGCTGGGGCGCCGATTGCCGCCGCGTCGACCGTTGTATGGGACCGTGTTTTGCGTGCATCGCTTTGCAGAAACAAAAGTAGCTCGCTGTTGCAGAGTTGAGCATTGTAGATTGCGGGCGCTGATACAGCAAGCTTTCATAGGGCGTCAACCCAAATGCACTTCAGTCGCCAAGATCGCCAGCTCTAGGATCGCTAGAGCGTGGCTTGCAGAAAGCTCGTATCATCACGTTAACGTAATAGCTTTCTTGCCGCATCTGTGCGTGGTCTGAAGCGGAGTGGGTGTAAGCGGCTTGCCATGCTGTGTATGCCAAGTAGGCAAAGCGCTACACGCAACTAGCCGGTAAATGATCAGCTCTTTGCGACCGTACCGCAGCTAAAACAAGCTGCGTCTGTTCTCGCTAAACAGCAGACTGCGGCACACATTTATCGCGGACAGCCGCTTATGTCTGTTTCGTCACTATGCAAGCCTTTGCATCGGCTGCGTATCCTGGACTCCGTAGTAGTTTCGAGATTCTTCTTGCTGTTGCCACCGCGTGCCATCAGACAGCCGTGCGAGAGTGCCAGTCTTTCTAAAATTTGGCAAACAGAAAGAAATGGCAATGTGGTTGGCACTTTAGGCAATATGTGCTGTGGCACTGTATTCCTTTATTTCTTCTTTAGTGGCGATGGTGCACGTAAAGAGATGCAAATTGGTACTTGGTGGTTAGTGCATACTGCGTTTAGTGTGCAGTTAGCCGCGTTCTTGGCCCTGTAAGTAGTATTAACAAGGTTTTACTGTACAAAGATTCGAATATGTGTGTGGGGAGGGGGATTCATCAGCATGCTCAGGGTTCCCTTTCAGGGGGAGGGGGTGAAGGTTCTTCACAGAGCCCCCCTCTCTATCATATCAATGTACGGGGCTGGCTTTGCACTCCCCCCTCCTCACCTACCCGTAGGCACGCCCATGTGAGTGTGCGCGCGCGCTGGTAGAATTTTATGCTTCAGGTAGCTTAATTGTTGGTGCAATATCCTTCACTGTTTTATGACACTGCTTCTGTATATGATCCTGCTTTTGTTTATATTTTGTGCTTCTTCTTTGGGCTTGATTCTTCTGTATAAATCATTATGGAAACTGAGGGAACGTTAAACTAAATTAAGGCTAAATTTTGTTCATCTGTGTGCGTCATGGAAAGCCCGAGCGTGCTCCGAACACAGAGGTAGCTGCTTCAAAAGCAGAATTTGCCTGCTCCAATGGCTCCTCCGAAATGCTGGAAGGCATTCTTGCGACTGCATCCCATACAAAAGACAAGAATAGCTGCCCGGAGCATGCTTCATATAAATGGGTTCGACTGTAGTCCTGTTTTGATCCGTGAGCACTGTAAGTGGCACAGTACACGTCTTTGGTAAGCTTTACGTGACCCAAAGTAATACATTGTGCGTGCAAAATAACTGTTTGACCGGGAACACTTAATGGCAGAGAACTTAGTGATACTTGTCATGTCGTATGGAATTATTGCAATTGAAAATTCAAAGAAAGTTGACATGTATGCACTCTACCGATTATCTAGGATTTATAGGAGTTTAGACAGGTGACATTGAACTTATAAATGAAGTAGGTATGTCGAAAATACAGTGCGAGACTAAACTAATATAGATAGTCCCACAGTGTATGAAGTTGTCAAACATGGCAGAGATGTAGTAGCCTAAATTTTGGCAACAGCCGGTGTATGCGTCTGAACTGAACATGCAGCCAGAGTAATCAAGAGGCGGGAAGAGAAAACTTGCCTCCTCATTTTCTTTGTAAACAAACAAACAAGGTGTGCAGACATTGATAAATCATCAAGCATGCAGTCGTAGCTGATGTCATATCATTATGAAAGCTGCAGGAGTCACAGGATTAGATATCGATTGCACTCATAAAATGAAGGAATGAATTAAGAGTGCCTGAAGAGTTCTCTGAGCTAGAGTGTGGCGTTCTGAAAGAACCATACAAACATGTTTAGAGCAGTAGATCTTGACCACCTAAATGTGATGGACTCAGAACGCTATGGGGTGCTTAAAAATGACCAGCCAGATGTGGCGGTCAATTGTAATAATTTTATCAGCTGCGCTACTACACTTTACAGTTGTGGTCACTTGCTCTGCCTGGGACCCCTTTACTGTGTAGTACCTCGAAAACCAAGCCTCTTCTCTACTTGAATGTTTGTCATCGTAGTTGAGTGTAGTGCCAAATAATGCATGCCGTAGAAGCTAATCTTTAATTTTTTTTTTCGTTGTACTTGCAAGTGTAAGATCGCGCTTTTTTTTTTCTGTTTTCGTGCAGCCAAACTGTTACGCCAAAGTAATTACAGTGGAAGGGCAGAAGAAGATCGTCATTTACTCAAAGCAGCCCATCAACGTCAATGAGGAGATCACCTATGACTACAAGTTCCCTTTGGAGTACGAAAAATTTGTGTGTCTGTGTGGAGCGCCCCAGTGCAGGGGTTTCTTGAACTGAAGTCTCATCCGTGGTACATTCATCATGTACAGTGTACAGCTTGCATCTCATCATTCTAATCGTCATCTTCATCATCGCATTGGTTGTGTTGGGAAGGAGGCCTGTTGTGGAACAGTGCTTGAATCGTGTTCCCGAAACTTATTGAAACATTTCATCGTGTTGGCATTGTATAGACCCCCTGAGCCGCCCAGAAAAACACGCGCATGCACAAATCATAATGTACATAAGAGAAAAGTCATATTGCAATGCATTAACTTCTGTCTTGTTGTCTTTTTTCCCTTTTCTGTTACTCTTTGTACATTCGTTAAACTCTGCACTTGTAATAAAAGAAAAAGCTGCACGTTGTACAACTGCTGCCGAAACGTTTTTTGTTAGAACAATCCTGGCAATCAGCAGATAACAGCTTCCGGTAGCATTGCTTGTGCAATGTTTCACGAAGACTAACTGACAATAATGCCAAGGAAAGTGTAGGTGATGTTAGTAGAAGTAATCTTAGTGAAAATGTGAAAAAAGAAGTGGACGAAAGATACCTTGCTACTGGCAGGATCAGAACGAAAGTCACAGGTTCTGATCCTGCCGGTGGCAAGCTATATTCAACAAATAATCAGGTGCATTAACAAATGATGTGCTGAGGCGTCATTTAAGGTTGTTCCTCTTCTAACTAATGCCTCCATACCTAACTTAAATTAGCCCCACTTGCCAAATGTAGTGATCAAACTGTCTATGCAAGCACGAGAGGATGTGAAATGGTTTTCAATGTTCAAGCCTCGAGGCCGAAGTTAGCAAGTGCTTGACACACGTAATGCTTAATTTTTTATTAAAGGTCACAAAACTAAATTAACTTAAGTAGGCATTAACTTAAGTAGCGAATCAAGATCTGTTTAAGTCCAGAAGAGTTCAGAGGCGTCAGTTGTGGGAATGCAGGGAATACAAAGATACACTTGGACCGTCCAATTTTTTCCCCACCTGTAGGGATCGTATGCTTTGGCTGCCGTTAATAGTGGCTGCAATTAGTGTTGAGTAAGCAAACTTCACAATTGTGGTCTCTAAAATGGTAGATTTTCTTATCCTCAAGCACCCACATAACCTGGCTGCTTGTGAGGTGGCACTGATGGCAATGGATGGATGATTGCTGTGAGTGTCCCCTTCATAATAAAGTGGTGCAGTATGTGCCATTAGGCTTGACAAAAAGAAAAAGTTATGCTTGCCTATTGCTATTTCTACTCATTACAAAAAATAAAATAAAAATAAAACTGACAACAATAAATTGACAGTGCAGTTCCGTGCCCCTTGTGCAATATGCCCTTATTTTCCCCACTATTTAAATTTGCCCCTATTCACTAGTTTTCTTTCTTCCTTTTAAGTACGGAGCATTTCAAGGGGCCAGCTTGTCCATCCATAGATTTCTTGTGGTGTGAATCTAGTAAAGCACTCACTACAGGCCATAGTTAGGGGAGCATAGCTAAAACCCTG